CCCCCCCAACACCTTTATCAGAGTCTTGATCTCTTTTCCACTGATTCTGTCACCTCTTCCTCTTTCACCCAGTAGTTATATATTCTCTACTTCGCTATTGCACCCATTTCTTTTCTATTCCTAAATAAATATGTTCAAATTTATTCCCCTCCCCCTTTTACTTATTCTATTCCATTGTAATTTTTAAAATCTTCCTCACAGAATCACTCTTTCTCCACATCCGTTTATTATTCATTTGTATTTATCCGTACCTTTACTTTCATCACATCCCGTCAGCATATCCATGAAAGTTTCATCACCGCTTTCACATATCCTGCATATCCTTACTTCCCTCTTTTTTTCTTCTACTTTTATTTCTTAACCTAAACCTTGTTATTACATCTAGATCTTTTTTTGACGTGAAAACGTCTTATAATTCGATGGAGCCGGCTGCACGCACAAAAAAACATGACTCATGCGGCGTTACCTCGCTCTGAGGCGTTCCATTTAAGGCTTGAACTGCAAGCGAGAGTGCGGAACGAGCGACAAAGAGGCACAATCGGCCTCCGCGTTCGGCAGCGTTCGACATCTGTCTCTCTCCTACTTGAGTGAGCGATGCGTCCGCGTGGACAGCTGCTATACAATAATACATTTCCATTTACCTCCTTCTCTATATCCATACAAAATATCTATCAAACAAATAAAATTAAAATTTTCTTTTGAAAAATGAAACCATTCCATCAGTATTTTCTTATGACGTTGTCACGTTCAATTATCGTCAGTAAACCGACTTTACAGACAATCGATTTTTTTTCTATTTCATATGGTCTGGCTCACCATCACCCTGCACTGATAACAATGACTTCATGCATTCCACATACTTCGACCTGTCAGGCTTTTTTCAAATCATCCCCCCTGATTATCTCCCCACATCCTATTTTTCTGCGCACATATTCATCCTCATCCATTCATTTAATTGATCCTAATTCAGCCAAAATTCCCTTAAAGCTTCCTCTCTATCTTTATAGGATCTATTTTTATACCAATTTTTAAGATTCTCTTTCTTCATACACCCCTTCTTATATCTCCCATTTTTAACTACTCCCCCCTTCATTTCATATTAAACTACACTTTTCTTGTTGTTTACTCCACCATCTTCAACTTTTTCTTTAACGCTTCGTATCCTCTTGTGTTTTCTAACCTACTCAACTTTTTCTTTTTCCTTTTTTACTTAAATGTATACATTTAAATACAAAAAAACATTTCAACAGCTACCCTCTTCCATTTACACCACATATAAGCACTTCATCCCCTTATATTTTTAAATAAATGCATCATTTGTTCCTTTTTCATCACCCTAATTCCCCACCCCTTTCTTCTTTATAAGATTTTCCTTAACGTCTCTGTTCCATTGCAGTACAATCATCCATGCATTTGTTCTTAATACATACATATGTACATCCCCCCAACACCTGTATCAAAGTTGCAATCTCTCCTTCAGAAATTCTATCATTTCTTCTTGCTCTTTCGTCTAATACATTATCTACATTGCTATTGCACCCATTTCTTTTTTACTCCTAAATAAATGTGTTCAAATTTATTCCTCTGCCCCTTTTACTTATTCTATCCCATTGTAATTTTTAAAATCTTCCTCATCAGGATCACTCTTTCTTCACATCCGTTTATTATTCTTTTGCATTTATCCGTACCTTTACTTTCATCACATCCCGTTGGTATATGCATCAAAGTTTCATCACTGCTTTCACATTTCCTACCTATTTCTTAACCTATACTTTGCTAGTATTACATCTAGATCTTTTTTTTCTACTTCTTTATGCTCTGGCTTACCATCACCCTGTTCCCATAAAAATTATTTCATGCATTCCACATATATCGACCTGTCAGGCTTTTTTCAAACCATCCCCCTTACTATCTCCCCACATCCTATTTTTCTGCGCACATATCCATCCTCATCCATTCATTTAATTGATCCTAATTCACCCTAATTCCCTTAAAGCTTCCTCCCTGTCTTTATCGTATCTATCTTTTATACCAATTTTAAGATTCTCTTTCTTCATACATCCCTTCTTATATCTCTCTCCTTTAACTTTTCCCCATTTCATCTCATATTAAACTGCTCTTTTCTTTATTTCCTACACCGTCTTCCACACTGTAACTCTTTCCTAACCATACAATTCAGTGTGTATCTACTCATATTTAAAAACCAATTCATGTATTTTTTGTATAAGTTCTCCGCTTGATTCTGCTGTTTTCATACCCATACTTCTACCCCATGATAAGTTACACTTCAAATATCGTTTTTACCCATACTTCTCTCCCATATACTCTCTTATGAAGAATTCGTCTTCGCAATTTGTGCATCTGTCTACATTTTATGACTATTACTCTCCCTTCATTACATACCCCAAATATGTACATTTTTTTACCTTTTGTATTATTTCTCCTTTTTAACTTAACTCCTTTTTTCTTCTTTTCTTCTTGCCTTTTACCTCTCCAACTTCAAAATATCCTTTGTCTTACTAACAGTCAACCCCAATCCATTCCTTTTTAAATACTTTTCTAGAACGTTCATCATTTCTATCCATGTACTATGATTTGTAAACTACTGGGAAATATTATCCGCAACGACTAAGTTTCCCTTCTTCCCCGTACTGTCCTACTTTCCCTCAATTCTTTCTATAAATGCGAACTTAATTTGCAATCTGGTCTTACTCCTATTTTGATCCAAAATGTTTTTGTTTCCTTTCCTCTTATTCGTATTATCCGACACATTTCTCTACATAACTCCGTTATTCTATCTATCATTCTTTTTTCTGTTACCTACCCTTAAGATAAGATTTACCAATTCCCCTGTCTAACGTACTTCTTTTAGATCCACAAAGGTCGTTTATACTTTTTCTTTACCTCTAAATTTGATTGAATTACATTCTTTAACCAAAAAATCGCATCAATTGTTCCCTTTCCTTATTTGCACCTAAATTGTGTTTCACTTAATATATTGTTTTCTACAATCATCTTCTCTAATTTGCCCTTAATTATTTTCGTATAAATGTTGTCACCAATATCCACTATTATTATACCGCTATAATTTTAAACATTTTCCCTTCCTTTCTTTTTATAAACCGGCACAATCATCCTTCACATTCATTCTGCTAGTATTTCGCCACTATCCCATGTTTCTCCAAAAATTAGCAGCAACGTTTCACTTAATATATCGCTTAGTCCTGCTTCTCTTGGTGTCTTATCCTGCCCTATTATTTTTTTTTTTTTTTTGGCAAAGCACATACCCTTCCTAACTTCATCTAATTCCAAGATTGGTTTCCTACATTCTACTACCTTTTACTCACTTTTCCTAAACTCCTTTTCCAGCCGTTTCTCTTTTTCATTTATTTATATTTTTTATACAAATTCACTATCTTCCAAAAATCCTCTGTTCTCTCCTGCAACCAACATTGCCTATTTCTTATTATTGA